AAACACACACACACACACACACACACACACAAACACACACACACACACACACACACACACATACGCACACGTGGGTGTACCCGCCTCTATCTCCTGACAAAGTTTCTCTTGTCTCCCTTCCAGAGGTGCTGCTGTATCACGTGGTGAAGAAGACTACGCTGTACAGTATCGGGATGAGACACGCCATGACGTTCCAGACCGCTGACAAACACCACGACAACCTCATGCTTATTGAGGGCAACAGTGAGTGCTTCAATTTGATTATTTTTCTTTTTGCATGTCCCGTACCCCAAAATGGTACCGGTTATTTGTAAGAAGTCGCGTAAAAAGAAATGAATAGTCAGCCTGGTTGTAATTGGAGTAAGAATAAGATGTAAAATATAGAAAAAGAGGTTACAAGAGTGATGTTTTTGTACGGGTTTTTTTATATGCTTGGGTTAATCATTATATCTAGCAAAAGCCTTTACATCCCAAGATGGATCGCTCTTGTAACATACAATCACCAATCAATCAACGCTTCCTCTTTCCTTCTGTCTATCACAGACGACGACATCTACCTGAACCACGCCAAGGTAGACGACCGTGACATCAGCGCCACCAACGGAGTCATCCACACCATCGAGGATGTGTTAGTTCCTACAACTGTTCTGGTCGCCATCGAAGATCAGGGTCTGCTCGTCGGGTAGATCTTATTGGCAAATGAGAGAAAAGTAATAAACATAGAAAAATTGAACAACATGTTTTGTTACTATAATATATTGATGGCCAGGCGAAAAAGCCAGCTTTTCCTAAGCAGATGTATTTTACAACGAAGATTTTTTAAAATACCATAATGGCTTAAAAGAACAATTAATTGTGTCGACTACTTACGATGAATTAAATAATACTTTCAAACATGTAAGTATGAGTATTTCAGGCAGGATATTGAAATAACTAACATGTATTATGCGGCTCATTTCATCCGCCCTCTACTTTCTCTCTTCCTTAGACTGACTATCTGTTTGTCTGACACTGTACTTCGCATCTCCTCGCTGTTTCCGTCTTCATGTCTCTCTGGGGTGGGAGGGAGATAAGACCAGTGAAAGGACGGATAATTAAGGGATTGTCGGTGGGTGGAGTGGGGGTGTGGTGGGCTGGGGCTTGAGATATATATATATATATATATTTAAGACAAGACAGGATATTTAGCGGACGTGGTGAAATTGTCTTCGAAAACTGTTGCTTTTATTTAAAAGCAACAACGATCAACCTTAGAAAAACCTTACTGTGGGGAAGAGCATTGAGGAAAAAATAAACGCTTCAAATGAGAGAGTTGTCATGTACCTCTTTGATGGCGATGATAGGTCATACACTTCGTAAGGGTATGGCGTAGAAGCACTTTTACAAATATATAAGATATGCCATGATAACTTTCACTCCCGTCACCATTGCAAAATTTGAAGGTATGCATTTTACCCTCTGGGGTCGATCTAGTCGACCGCCATACCCTCTAGACTAGTGCGCTCTCAGAATGAAGTGAAATCAGCCTAGATATGAGCTCCTTTCAATTATGTCAACTTTCCGATTTATTTTAAGGACTAAACAAAGGTAACGGAACGTTTTCATAAGCACAGAAATATAATGATCAAAGAAAAAAGACGTGTCAAGGGACATTACTATGTCCCTTTTAAAACGTCCCGGTTTTCCTGAGTTATGTACCTTGGTACACGATCCTATGTTTTTGACTTTCACAACGTTGCAGACTGCGACATCGAGACAGCAGACACTGCACTTGATCGTTTTCTTTATACGATGTTTTGTAGACCGAATATTGACTGGCATATATAGAAAAAAATCAAAAAAATCGAGTTGAAACAATCCGTTTCTTGAATTTCGGTTTGTATCCTGTTTAGAAAAGAACCCTGTGAACACTTTGGACGCCATCAACTGGTGTCAAGAGGAATAATATAGATCGAATACAATATCATTATGTTATTGTACTTGTTTTACGCCCTTATTAACACAGTTTGGGTCATTAGAACACAGGCTGCATTTACCAGTCTATCTGAACTAACCTGTGTTGAGTTGGATACAGCTCCCAGGAAACAGCTGTAGATATTTCCCCACTCAAGAATCGAACTCACATCTTCTGCGTAGGGCGGCGAAAAGCCTTACCATCATGCTAAAGACACCAGTTAGATGGGAAAATAGCTATGGACGCAGAGAGAAAAGTTATTGTAAATAGAAATTGTAGTTTAGAGTGGCTTCAAAAAGTTTGTCGGGAGTGGGTTGAGCGGGGGGGGGGGGGGGTAATTAAGTAATGTGTTTCTATATCTAATTGGTTAATTTGTTCACAAGCCATAATTAACTGAAATTCTAAATTGGTCAACTTGCGAGCTTACACTATCGAGTACTATCTATGGTTGTTGTTGTTGTTGTTTATTTTTATTTTCTTTATGGAATCTAATTTTAAAGCACTGAATTTTTGTCGAAAAAACGGTTCTTTAGTTGCTCTAAGGGAACCTTGTGTTATTTGGCTTGCCCAGTTGATGTGTTGCTTGGTATTTGTGCATGTGTTCTTGTGCGTATGTCTGAGCTTGTATATATGTGTATGTGACTGTGTTCATGCATGTGAAAGGGAGTGTGAGTGTGTCTGAATATGTGTGTGTGTGTACTTGTAACATTTAATGTCTATATGTGTGCGCGGGTGAGTTTGTGCATGTGTGTGTGCGTGCGTGCGTGCGTGCGCATGCGAGCGTGTGTATGTGTGTGTGTGTGTGTGTGTGTGTGTGTGTGTGTGTGTGTGTGTGTGTGTGTGTCTGTCTGTCTGTGTCTGTTTGTCTGTTTGTGGAGAGAGGGAATGACTTCAAGGCATCTACATACCGTACTGTTGTCCAAAAAATGATATGTCGCACAAAGAAATCAGTGACTTTCTAAGTTCCTCAAATAACCCCCACCACCTTGTCTTACACTTGATGACAGGGTGATAAAACTATACGACAAACTATGACAAAAATTGCTAAAACAGAATACATACCGTATAGTTTCCAATCGCCTTTGTGAACGACATGGAAAAAAATCAAACTCTTCCAGTCTCTTTAACTGCTCCTAACCATCACTTATGAAAGTCCGCCTCTGGACAAGCATACTTTGGAGGCGTTGAAGCCTGACGAAAATATCAATGAATCTAAAAGTCATCTCAGTACATTTGCGATGGACAAGAAAAAAGAAATACTTCTTTAATGTACAAGTGTGACAAGTGGATTCGAAATGAACTAACATTCCTTGAGGTGAGATTGAATATATTTTATAAGCAGATATAATGGCAATGACTAAGTTTATCTTAGCATCTCCGCCGACCCACTCACGGGGCTGGACAATTATAGTTTTTATAGGGAAGGTATGATAAATTGCGCTTGAACTCAACAACCTCGCTTTCACTTGTTTTATTTAAGGGGTTCTTTGTGATTTTATTTGTTTATGGATTTCTGTGTTTCTGTAAATTCTGCGCAGTTTTGTTGTACTTTTAGCCGGCCAACCCAGCGATGTCGTCCATGAGTTCTTTTCTCTTTTTTTTCAGCTGTTGCTGTTGTTGTTGTTGTTGTTGTTGTTTTTTGTGGTGGTGGTGGTGGTGGTGGTGGTGGTTTTGCTATTGTTGTTGTTGTTTGTTGTTTTGTTTTTGTTTTTGCAGTTGTTTTTGGGGGGTTTGGGGTTTTTTTTGTTTGTTTGTTTGTTTTTTGTTATTGTCAAATGTACAGACAAAAGAACAAGTGAAAGTGTCCTGGAAGAACTTGATACACATCCTAGAGTTCTTTCTAAGATCAGGAAGAGAAGACTCAAATACCATAGTTACGCAGAGGGAAACAAATACAGACATGGTAATAATTCGACACCTCAGAATGATAAAGTTCTCTCTGACATTTTTTGGCCGTTTTGAGTTAGGTCAGAGAGAAAATGTTCTGTCTGCTCTATAAAAATTGTAAGATTATTCGAAGTCGTTATCAAGACTTTCAAAGAATTGCATTCGAAAAAACTTGACACGACAGGATATTCAAAATCTTGGACGTCAAATTTCTCAAACTCAGTACTGTGCAGATAGAACTTTGCAATTCTGAGGTAGCGAACTGTGCTACAAGGCAGAGTAGAAGCAAAATGAAATAAAGGAAGACCTTCCACACCATACAAGGAAAACGTAAAAACCGACAGTGGTCTACCTCCAGCTTCATGAAATAAATCTGTGTAAATCTGTGAAGCAGAGAGGGAAAAATGGAGTCCTGTTGTGAGGAGGAGTATGGCACCAACAGATGAACACGGCCACGATGACAGGTGACGGGTCGGTAATTTAGAATTACAAAGTTCTGTTTGACATTTTTGGCCATTGTGGGTTACTAACACCTTGAGGTCAGAAACTAAATGCTCTATCTGATCTATTGAAATAGTAAGATTATTCGGTGTCGTTATCAAGATATTCAAAGAATTGCAATCGAAAAGGCTTGACAAGCTATGAAACTCAAAATTTTGTACGTCAAATTTCTCAAAGTACTGAGCAGATAGAACTTTCTAATTCTAAGGTAGCGATGTGATAAGTGAGGATTTGGATGTGGCTGACGTGTCCAGTTGGTGTGAGGCACACATCCGCGGACACACTGGTCACTTGCCATGGAGATTGTCACAGCTGGGGAAGAGATGGAGGCTTTCCACCACTCCCATGCGATGTTGAGATGGTCACATCGAGCTATTTCGAGATTGTTCTGCGCTGTGATGGTCTGTTCGCGTCAAGCAATTTTATCTTCTAGAGCAATATTTAATGTAAATGGTTTTTTTACTCCTTCGTCGCCTCAATGTAGATATTTTAGGAGGCAGGCATCGATCCTGCCTGCCTCTGCCAACCCAGGCTAGAGGGATACTACATTCCAGCCGAAAGACCAAAATATACTCGATAAAAATTCTCCCCACTCCGGAATTGTACTTGGGTATCCTGTGTGCGACGGCCAAGTCTCTAACTGCTACACCGCAAACGCCAGTTTCGGTACAGTGCTTAACGTCCTTTAGAGCAATACCACAAAACTCTAGTGGGTCCTTCCTACAGCCATACGAACTTTGTAAATTTTCCAGCTCAAACTCAGTTTAACGAGTGCCGTGTATTTGTCTATACACATTCTATGACATGAGCTCATAAGCGAGTGGTTGAGAGACTGAATGAGAGAGAGGAAGAAATGGAGCGAGAGAAAAGGAGGAGGAGATGGAGATGTTTTTTAAAGTAAAGTCAGAGAGCGGAAGAGAGAAAGAAAGGGAGAGAGGGAGGGAGGGAGGGAGAGAGAGAGAGAGAGAG